ACATTTTTTTAATTTAAGTAAAAAGGTCAAGAAAAAAGTACATCTTTTTTAGGCCGAGGAAGGTACAACTTAATCAGTCAAGCCTCCAATTATTTTTGTTTTTCTTAACCCCAAATATTTATTTAAATACTAACTGAAAGTACACAGCTCAGAATTGAAGGGCTTTGCATAGCTGCACTCGGAATCTGGAAGTATCTCAACAAAATTGCTAACATGAGATACCACCAGTGATTACACAGACGATCTTTGTTATTTTTTCCACTTTTTATGGTTTACTTTTATCGGATTTTTTCTTCGTTTTGCACGTTCACTATTAAGTTCTGCTTCAAAATATCAAAATTCTAAAAAAACAAGAAAGAAAGCAAACATTTTTAAATTTTTCAATAACTCTTATTTTAGTCATATTTCAAGTAGTGCTCTCAAAGCTCCCATTTGTTTTGGTAATTTCTTTTTTTTACAGAATTTCAAAATTACCTACGAACCCAACCAGGACACACGACCAGCGTGAATCTGATCAACTGCACTGTTGATTATTTGCTACGCCTTCAAGAATCCGTGATGGATTTCTATTGGCATTATTCGAGCAAGGAAGTAATCGATGAGGGTGGCAAGGAGTATTTTTTGAGGGCAATTCAAGTGTGCAGCCAAGTATTCAATACACTTACTGAAAGCATACAGGTGCACGCATATTTTTTTTCAGTTGTCAATCTCTGACAACTTTTTCTGGGGCCATAGCCGTAATTTCATGCTTCCTTCAATCAGTGCAGCTTGTGATATTATCATTTTCCTCGATTTTGTTTTACCGCACTTAAGTAACTAACAGAAGCATACGCTTAATATCCTGTTAATACCAATATCATGCGTAGATTTGTATCTATTTATAATTATAGACTACAGATTAAAGGTATGCAAAGAAAACTACAATAGAAGGGTTAAAAAAGGATGGCGAGGCTCTGGGGTGCCGAACTTCCCCAGAATAAGGTTGCTTGGAGGACAAAAAACACACTAGAACCTAAAGATGAAGAGGAGTGCTTTTATACCCGAATGACCGCAAATCACAAAGATTGCATAACTCTAAAAGGTGTCCAAAGACTGAGCCGGGGACCAGGGTGTTGCAGAATAATGATGTGACGGCTCCTTATTTTTAACAAAAAAAGCAATAAATCATTATGCGATATAAAGGTGGTAACTCATGTGCCTCATTATCATGGTCGAGGAGTGGGGATATTCGAAGTGAGCTAATGAGGCGTACGCTAAAAACATCTCGAAACGCCGAAACTCCTTTTTAAATTGCAGTCCCTTAAGGGGAAGGAGCAAAAGTTAGGTTTGTCAGCAGCAGGCTGATCAGAATATGATGAAGTATTGGTTAGAGCAACTGAAAAAGCTGCCAGCTGCATAGTTGAGGAACCAGGCTGCAAATTATAGCTAATCCAAGTTTTTCAGAATGTCAAAAGAGCCCAAAAATCTCAAGTAATTAAACCCAGCATTGGTTTGTAGGTACTTTCATATTAGAAGAATTTTTGGATTGAATTTGCAGGGTCCTTGCACTGGTAATCAGATGACACTGGCGAATTCACGTCTCTGGGATGCAATTAATGGTTTCTTCTTCCTGTTTGCGCATATGATGGAAAAGCTGTACAAAAATAGCACACAGCTCGAGCTACTCCGGGAATTTCTGAATTTGCAGAAAGATATGATAGTGCTGATGCTGTCGATGCTTGAGGGTAAGCTTTTTTTGTAATGCGTAAATTGTGTGTTTCTTTTTGGGGTGCTTGCTCGTCAATAAGATACTGGAAATGTGGGTAAGGCGTAGGAGCGAGAAAGATGCTTATTGTATCGCTTTGTGTGCTCTAACCAAAGAAACATTTTATCAAACGAAAGGTCGCTGTCGTGCATAGAAAGTTTAATCCGTTGAACAAGACACGTTACCGGTTTTGTTAAAGACGTAGCAAAGTCGTATGGCCTTCAACAATGTGATACTCATGCATAATGGATTTGCTAAACCACTACTGCAAGCAATTGTCAAAGGCTAGAGGGATCGGATGGGCTAGGCTGAATACCTCATTAAAGTCAAGAGAGTTCTATACTAACTGACTTTGGTAAAACTCCAAAAATAGGTGGTTTTTGTAAAGTTTGAAGGTAACAGGTGAGTTTCGATGGTGAAAAAAGTGGTAGTGGTTTTGTGGAAGTTGAAAAAAATCGTTCATTTGGAAAAAAATCAGGAGCAAAATTCATCCATTTTCTCCTGTATTCACCTTTTATTTCAAAAAATGCGATGGAAAAAAATCAAAAAATTATTTTCAAAGACAGTTTATTTTTCATGAAAACTACAATTTAAATATCACATGTCGCTTGAAAAAGCGCGTATTTAGCTTTCTTTTCATTTTGTTTTTTATTGATTTTTAACGACTTTTGCCGAAAAATTAATAGTTTTTAGGAAATGTTCTGAACGGTCCAATTGGTAAGCAGATGGTCGATGCACTGGTTGAAAGTGAACAGAATGTGGAAATGATCCTGAAATTCTCGGATATGTTCCTTAAGCTAAAGGATTTAACAACATCTCAGGCATTCCAGGATTTCGATACAAATCGCGATGGTTGGATATCACCCAAAGAATTCCAGCGTGCTATGGAAAGTCAAAAAATGTACACCGTGTAAGTTTTCAAATTGAATTTTCGTCGCGATTAGCAATCATTATTTTGATACTCTGATCAGATGTTGCTTCGTCGTCACGTTCCTCCTTGTTGCTGATTTAACTGGCACTTCTCCATTCTTCTCAACTTTTTCATGAGCCTTGTGAAATTCATTTACCCCAAAATTGATCGAAAGAAGCGAGGATAAAAATTGATCGAAATTTCTTATTAAAACCCGCTAATAAGAAATACTTTAGGGAGGAAATAACATACCTGATGATGTGCACTGATGTGAATAACGATGGCAAAGTTGATTACATGGAATTCACCGAACGCTTCCATAATCCAGCAAGAGATATTGGTTTGTGATAATATTTTTTGCAAGCTTATTCGAATGTAGAGGGATTATCAAATCACTTGGACAGACTCAAGGGAAAAGCAATACTTCGAATTGCGCGGTTTGGTTCATTTTAGCGGGAAGGGGTAGGGGCTGCCGCTGCCATAGTTTCAGTAACTAGTATGTGGTGAATGACCGCTATCCAATGTCCATCAGGGTATTTCTTCAGCAATTTTGGAAGGCTTTAGCTACAGTACTGTTGGTCAAAACGCTCTTATGTAGGCAGCAAATGAATGCCTAAATCTGCTCTGGAAGCTAATGTATGGTAGTTGTTCTGATTTAAGCAAGCAATGCCTTTTCTGGAAGCTGTAATTTAACTGTGCGGTAAAACAGAATTGGCTATTTGCGAGAGTCGAATATGTTATACGAGAGTTTTATTCCATGAAGCCTCATGACTTATTTGATCACCGAAGTTTTTTCTGTCAGGTTTTAATGTTGCTGTGTTGCTAACAAATCTAAAAGAGCACATCACTAATGATCCACGATTGGAGAAAATTGTCGAAAAAGCAGGAAGTCTGCTGGAGTACTTCGATCCTTATCTTGGTAGAATTGAAATTATGGGTTCCAGTAAACGAGTCGAAAAAATTTATTTCGAAATCCAAGAATCATGGCTGGAGCAATGGAGCAAGCAGCAAATTAGGTATTTCATTTATTTATCGCTATTAAAAATTACCAAAACCGGTCGGACAACGGGCGTTGGGAACTGATGTACCATAAGCAGTTTTACTAGGCCGTTTTATCTCGAGATGCGCATTTTCCGTTAATATGAATTATGTGATTTTTTTTTTCCAAAATCAGACAAAAGCTCTAGTTGTTTAGGAACTCAACGAGGAGATACATTAGGT